GGGCCTCACTGGGGATACCCAATGTTATTCCTAGTTTACCAACTCAAACAACTTGTGCTGACTGCTAAGATCTTGGTATTTCACGGATCACAGATGAATCACAAGTCAAGTTTTCTAAATCAGACAGACTTGTTCTGTCTGATTTTTCTCATTAATCACCTATCATGAAACTTGAAGCTTTCGACACATAAGCAGCTCAGTCATCCGAGGGAGGCAGGGAGGGGGTCTGTTTGTTAAGACATCACTCACATGACTTGGGCAAGGCCAGCTGCAGAGCTGGAAGTATTTTCAGCTGCTGGTGAAGAAAACCAGTCTGAGTGTCATCGCTGGAACGAAGCTGAGTGATGGGGCAAAAGTGTATTTCAGTGATTTTCCTTTATTCCTCGTGAACTGTGAGCTGCAGATGGGACTCTGGAATCTCCCATCCTGCGTATGGTTGACAGCCAGCTCTGCAGACCTACGGCAAAGAACGACAGCAGCTGTCCTGACAAGGCCACCCTCAGTATCTGATGTGAAGGCGGCTCTATCCAGTAGCTTGAAAAGTTCTTCAAGGCCTGCATTTCCTTCTGAGTCCTAGAAATTCTGCAGAGCTGTAGGTGAACCTTTAAGGTCTAATATCTATGTGTCTCCCAATTCCTTCTCTAGTTTGTTGTTTGGGGGAGGAATTAACTCATTCATCATCCGGGAGGGGCAGACACAGTCCTTTTGAAAGCTTCTGTCACATAACTTTTATTCTGTGCTCCTTTTCAGGAGGGACAGACAAGCAGCGTCTTCTAAAACGACCCATGTGTCGGTTTGTGATCGCTTCCCACAGAACCCCAGGGTGACATGCAACCTAAAGAAGTTATATTAGCTTCTCCCAAACAACTACCAGCCCTAACCCTTTTAGGGGTACACTTGGCTTATTTCTGAATCTCTCTGGAAACGAATACATCTAACATCATGTGGTTAAAAGAAACCCAACGTCCTAATAAATATCCAGTGAATTCAGAAGTCTCTTGGTAGCCAAATCACCTCCGCATGCTACCTATGCCAAATCTTTCTCGTGCTTTTTTTAGTGCCATAGTGTCATCTAGAAATTCGGGAGGAAGGACACAATTTGGTTGCCAGACAGACACATGGCAGCAACAGTGAAAATGAGGTGTATAGCATGGGCTGATCTAAACCCTAGCAGAGTACACTTAAAATCGTGCTTGGTTCTGCCCTTCAGTAATCATTAGAGACCGAGTAAGGCACTTCAGCTCTCTGAGACCGGGTTCCCTGCCTAGAACATGGGGTTACTAACATCTGCTTTGCAGAGTGGTGAGGACACAATGTTTAAGGACAGGTGGTTCCTTTCTCCTGCTCTCTGTCTGAAACCACTGCAGCTTCACCGGGAAGCCTGACCTCAGGCAGCACTACCTTGGATCTTACAAGGAAGCCTGCGCACGGAACCTGGCAAACACGCCGCTGCCTAATTGACAAACTTCTTTCTCACCATTTCTCAGCTTTAGCTGAGTTCAAGCGCTAATTAAAGTACTCTCTATTTTCAAAACAACTGCAAACAGTAATTACATACTTCCTTCCTTACCTTCCAGGAACAGCCGGAGTCGGAGGCGAAATTCCAAGTCCCCTGGACCTCGAAGCCATACAGATAGAACGTCATATTCTTCCTACCCCATTGACCCAAATTACATAATGGCCCCTGCATCTCCTGCCACGTGGATCCCAGAGAGGGTCACAGCTCGGGCTAGTGCTCTCAGACGTGTGCCGAAGGGAACCCTGAGAGGGAGGCTGGCAAAACTGCCGTTAAGAGGAAAGTTCCATCCTTACACAGGCAGGGCATGGTATGTCCACTTAGCATCTTATAAATAGCATCTTCTGTAAACAACCAGTTCTTTATTGTTTATATAGATGTCTAATTGAAAATGTTATGTAACCTTAAAGTACGGAGCATTCTGGAGCTATTAATAACTAGCTGCACCCAAAATCTGAGGATTCTTCAAGCTTAGAGTAGGAGGGCATCATCCGATACTAGTATGCACACACACACACACACACACACACACACAAACACACACGCCCACTGCGTACATGTCAGCCGGGAGACCCAGAGAATGGGATTAATTTGTTCAAGGCCACAAAGCCAATTCACAACAGAGTCGGGGATCAATCCCAGGCTTCCAGGCCTCTGGAAGCTGTTCTCCACCCTATGTACCCCCAACACGTCCACGAGCACGACCCCAGTGACACACAAATGCTGCAGCCCTCGAACTGAGTCCTCAAAATGCCGAGCCTGACAGCTAGGATCTTAAGAGTTCACGGTCTACAGTCCTGAGTTAGAAATGGTAAGCACACAAGGGAAATGTCTCATTGCTGTTATTGATTTATGATACCTACCCCTCCTGTTCTCCTAAAAGAAATCTGAGAAACTTCAAACATATTTTAACACGAGGCCATTGTACACACAGCATGGAAGAGTTCAGTTTTAGAGATCTCCCGGACAAGAAGTGGGTTTAAGACAAAGAAAAAAATTGAAAAGGAAGAATTTATTCTTAACTGCTCATTTTGACACTGGGGGAAGAAAAAGAGCAAAAAATGTGGGAAAACTGATGAATTAAAGACTAAGTATTAGTAATGGGAGTAATGTTTTATTGTGTAACCCAGCTTGTGGCTATTAGTGGTATGATCTATGACATATAAATCATTATTTCATAATTGCATTATCATTTTCAAAAGTAACTTAATGGAGATTGTTTCTCCACATTCATTTTTATTCAAAACCTTGCCAATTAATCATGAAGAGCTAAAATACACAATGCACGGAGATTAATATCCCCACACACGACGCATTACTTTCCCTCCATAGACCCTAGGAGCCTGTCAAAAATGAAAGCTTTGTTCTTTGGTCACAAAACCTACTGAGAGCTTAGCTTCTGGGAAAAAGATGGGACATGCCCACTTCATTCGGGATTCAGTAAAACTTTAAGAGGTTTATTAATCCACATCTTAAAAAGACCAATGACAGCCCCATTAACAGCCCATAGGTCAAGTTGATGAATTTAGCTATTAATCAACAGCCAAACTCTAAGTCAGGGTCTGAACATCCTTGGGGCCCACCTTCCTGTCCCAGCTCCCCTGAATCTACAATTGGACAGGCGCCACCTGCCACTGACATAATAATCATCAAACAATGGAGTTAGAGAGTCTAAAAAAAAAAATCACGTTATTTACTTGCACGAATTGTTTAGGCTGAGGTTTTACCTATGCAAATACGATTGATTCTTTTTGGGAGGGACAGGCAAGGCCCACCAGCTTGCTGCTTTCTAGCTTGCTGGGCGTTGGTTGATACACTTGCCGTATGCCATCATTTCTTAGGGGCTAATGTCCTCTCTCCTACTGAAATGCCTAACCTCTCCCATAACCCCAATCTGGCACCCTTGGACATTTTATAGCCACCATGCTTTACCCCAATAAATAACACACTTAAGCACAGCTCCAGTTTCACAGCTCCTGCTCCAGTTCCTTGGGGCTAAACCTGCATGTCGCAGTTCCCTGGGTACCAAGTCTTCCTCTTAGAAATCAAAAAGCCATTCAGTGTAGAACTCTTAGTCCAAGCATCTGGACTAAAAGGGCCCAGCTCAGCCTGGTAACCCACTGGTTCTCCCACTCACAGAATCATTTAGTTGGAGGGTGTCTGAGAGGTCATCCAGCCCAACTCTGCTCCTTTTACTAAAGGGACAGAGGCCCCTGATTGTCAAGGAACTTTCCTGAACCAACACAACATCGTACATGTCGTGTAGACAAGTGAGCTCAACACTCTGTGACTCAACCATTGAAACAAGCCACTCAGACCGGGACCAAATGATTCCAAATGGCTTCCTCCCTTAGGATCAAACTACATACACTTAAGCAAACAGTTAAAAGCTGCAAACCACAGAACTGGGGGCAAGCAGAAGGCCTCATGTCTGCATTGAAGCCCCTTTTCTTTTGGGCTGAGAAGTGTGAAGTTCTGCTGACAAGGAGGGTTGACAAATGTGAAGCAAGATCAGGTCCACCCCTGCTTGGTAGCCATCTGGGATTAGTCCCAGCACCTGCCAAGTATCCATCTCCATGACTTACACAGCCAGGGGCAGGGAGCCTCGGTCAACCCTCACCCCATGGAAAGGTCAGGATGCCATTCCGAGGCCTTGAATGTGCTGGGTCACAGGAGGAACCAAATGCAGCCAGCTCCATCCTTCAAGAGGCCCGGGAAAGCAGAATCCTGGGAGAGGAATCACCCAGGGACACGTACTATCCTCTCACCCTAACTAAGCGAATCAGCTTCACACTTGGAGCACACATTAGGGGTGAGCAGCAATGTGATGGAAGGATGGACAGAAAATACATGCTACCAGCAACTGATTTCACCAGAACAGATACTCACTGGACAACTATTCCACACACATGCAATGACTCTTCAGAGGCATGCAGTTAGGGGAAGAAATGGGACAGGTGTGTTTGTTACCAAGAGATCAGCTTGGCAAAGAAGCAGAGCACCCTGGTTTCCAATCCGGGTCTCCCACGCCTTAGCCTTGTGACCTTGATTAAGCCATTCAACCTCGATGGGCCTCAGTTTCCTGATCTGAGCCATGGAAAAGGGGGACCTACTTCCTAGAGTGGTTTTGAGGCACACCGGCCAGCGCAGCCTGGACACGCACTCAATACGAGTTGAGTTGCATCCCTCGAATGATAAGTCTGAACCCAGGCTGCAGACTCACATCATTATCTGGACCAAACAGGTCTCCTGCCTGCATGTCAAGCTTGCATCTGTCTCCTCGAAGGCCGAGGAAAGCACCAGGTCTTGAAGGTGCTGGGGCAGTTCAGCCTTGAGGCAGGGTTTGGGGTCAAGGAAATTGATGGATTCAATTAGTAGCCCTGCAAGTTTCCAGGCTCTAGGGTGAGGGCCGGAAAGGGGGGTCAGGAGCGGCCCCAGAGCCGAGCAAACGGGCTTTGTTCCCGAGGCGGAGGGCCTGGCTTACCGAGAAGCGCATCCGGAGGCGGTTGGGGGGCGCGCGGGGCACGCAGCACAGCCACAGCCGGGCCCGGGCCGGGGGCGCCAAAGCCGGAGGAAGGCGAGAAGAAGGGGAAAGAGGAGGCTGCAGCCGACTCCTGCCTCATTCTCCCGGGCAGCGTTGACCCGCTGGCCGCCGCGGGCTGGGGCTAGCCGCCGGGCGCCGGACCCCGCGTTCGCTGCTCATGTCCCCGTTCGCCGCCGGCGAGGTGTGCGCGCAGCTGGATCGTCTCCGGGCGGCACCCGGGGCTCCTCATCCCGGCCGGGCTCAGCTGGATGGACTCTCGGAGCAGCACGTAGGCAGAAGAGAGAGAGAAGAAAGAGAAGAGAGAAGAGAGGAGAGACAGAAGAGAGAGAGAGAGAGCAAGCGTGAGAGCGCGCAGAGCTGCGCCCCGCGGGGCCGGGGGCGGGAGGGCGCCAGCAGACTGAGCGCCCCACCCACCGCGCCTCTGTACCCCGCGCTCGGCCGCAGCACGCGACCCAGCAACTACAGCCATGCCAGTCGCTTGTTGTCTGCGGGCCGAAGCTGCCGCTCGCCGGCGCCCAGTCCTCCTGGCCCCAGCTCCCGCCCGAGTGCGCTTACCAGCGGCGACCGCGTCCGCAGCGCGGGGCGCACCCGCCGCCGCGCAAGAGCGACTGCGCACCGGCCTGGCTGGAGAAGGCGCGGCGTTAGGGTCCTGCAGGTAGGGCCACCTCGGCGCAAGTTATGGCACCTGGAGGGCTGCTCGAGCACAGCTGTGTCCAGACCGGAGCGGGGAGGGTCCGCGTGCCCCCGGCCCCTGCTCCGCGGCGCAGCCGCTGACGACTCGCGCGGGCTTCCCCGGCCCCCGGTCTGCGGAGCCCGCCCCGTTACCTAGCGACTCGCTCCGGGGAGCCCACGCTGACGCGCGACAAGCGGGCTGCGGCAGGCGAGGGGCGGGGAGGAGAAGGAGGGGACGGGGAGCTCCGGCGCGGGGAGGGCTGGAGGCCGCGGGCGGAGCTCCTCCCTCCGCTTCCCCCTCCGCGTTGGGGAGGGAGCCCGGGGAAGACGTGGCCTCAGCCTGGCCGTGGAGGATGGGGGTCTGCGCCTGGCGGGGGCGGCTGGAGGGAGGCACCGGAGATGCTCCTTCCCCTGAACTGGGGATGCAGCAGCAGGTGGCGGCGACGTGGCCCGTGGAGGCCGGGCGCCCACAGGCGCGCGGATGAGCCCGGCCCGGCGAGAGGGCCGCAAAAGTGGCCGTGGGCGCGTGGGTGTGAGTGACACGCTCCCGCCCACGTAGCGTACCTGGGGACCTGGGGATGTGGTGAAAGAGGTGCCTGCTTCTTCCTCTGGTCTCCCTCCCTCCTTCCTGGACACTGCTCTGAGCCCCTATTTTCCTGAGAACGCTAGGATGGCCTGGCGGCAGGAGGTAGCTGCATCCTGGTCAAACCACCATCCTCCAATCCTCCACACCCTGCCGGTTGGCGCCTACCCATGCTCCCCCCCCCCCACCAGACCACGTTGCCCAGCCAGCCCCCGGGCCCCCCGTGTCCAGTTGCCCACCTAGTGTGCCCTATAACCTGCCCTGGGTCGTCTTCCTCTTTCTGGACTTGGGGCCTTCACACCGACTGGGGTTCAAATCCAGGCCCTTCCAGTTGCTTGCAGTATGTAGGATGTTTTTAAGTTACTTAACGTTTTCAGTAAAGTGGAATCTTTGTCCCCGAAGGTCGTAGCTTAATATTAGTACGTAGGCACTCCATGAATGTGAGTATGCATTTCTGTAAGGTGTGCAGCCTGCCTCCTGCTCCTCAGGGGCCTCACAAAACACACTCCAAGGCCGGGAAAGTGGGGCAAGAGCCTTGAGACACTGTCCGAGCAGGCAGGGGCCACTGCCCCTAGTGATGGCGGAGGTGACTTGTCCCCAGTCCACTGGTGCCTTGCAAGCAGAGCTGAGCAAAGAGCCCAGACCTCCTGGCTAGGGTTCCCAGGGCCCCTTGCTGCCCTCCTTCCCCAGCGGGGTGGAAGGAAGCTTCCTTCCCTACTTCTCAGAAGACGCACATGCCTGCCCAAATGCTGCCTCCCTGTCATCCCTGCCACAGAATGGGAACCACCTGCCACCTCACCCACAGGCCCAAGCCCAGCCCTTCCCCAATGTGCTGTCCCCTCTACCTCTCTGGTGTGGATGTGGGGAGAAAGAGGCGGAAGATAGGCCCTGCAGCCGGAGTGAGGAGTTGGCGCCAGGAGCACCCACACCCTAGCCCCGGATCTCAGCCGGGCAGATCCCCTCCCTGAGAGGCTTTGCAAAATGGCAGGGCCTGAGTGGTTTTTGTTGGCCCAGTGACAAGACATTTCCTCCAATGATTTATTTATTTACATATTTAGCGATGCCAGTAACTCCTGTTGAAAAACCCTGCAAGTCCATCCAACCAGAAACCTGTGTCTGAAGAAACCAAGGTCCAAAGGCAGCACTTTTCTGGGAAAAGCACTTTGCATCCCAGCCCACGTGTGACAGTTGCATTCCAACATTTCCCAGTGAGATCAGGAGGGACACCTCTTCATCTCCCAACCAGTTTTTATGGGTGGCGGCAGCCAGGCCGCTGGTCCACAGAAACTCCAGGACTATTTCCTGGTGCCCAGCTCTTTCTTCAGCCCAGACTTCCCAGTATGCAGGTACAATTTGACACCTGATTTGGTCCGGGAGCCCAGTGCTTTCAATAAACAAAACCTCAGAGCTTGTATTCCACGCACAGCCAGTATCCACGCCCCACTACTCCAGGAAACAAAGCAGCCTATAGGGAAGTGTGATCTGACGGCACAAGCATCTCATTCACAGCTTGCAGAGATTTGAAAAACCTTGGCTTGCGTGTAGCAAAAGCGGCATGTTCATCCTTACAGTGTGTGTATGGGGGTGGGGAAGAGGGTGGCAGGGAGGACTCCCCCTACATGGCATGGTGATACTTCATGTTTTTCTCAAATAACAGAAGTGGGATACACACAAGCAACCCAGGATTAAGGAAGCCCACGAACCCCTATGGCTGAGTCGGGATTGTTCATTTGCAATGCAGTAGAGGACCGTACCCTCACATTTGTAAGGGGTATCCACTGAAGTCGGGTACAGCGTTAGGCAGTGGGGATGCAAAGATGACTCAAATAAGCCCTTGTCTTCTGAGACCCAACAGGGTCTTTTATAGAGGGCGTATCACATGCCAGGTACTCCTGGTATTAGGCGCTTTATCTAGGAGAGCTCATTTTAATGTCACCAAACCCTATCAAAAAAGGTTTATTATCTTTTCTTAAGAGAGAAAACTCAAAAAGGCTCAGTAAGGTCCCTAAAGTCACACAGCTGGCAAATGATAGACTTGGGGAGTTGTAACCCAGTCTTCCTGACTCCAAAGCCCATGTTCCTGACAGCTACCCTACAGTGTCTACCAGGCTAAAGGAAAACAAGGACAATGATAACACAGCCAGTGCCCACTTGGCGTTTAGGATTACTGATGAGCTGTATGAATATAGTCTCCAGCACAGTTTCTGGACCAGAGTAAGCACTCGATGAAAGATAGCTACAGCCCCTCAATGTGGTCTTGGATTGCTGCATTCTGTCTTATAGAGAGTACCAAGTGCTACTCTTGGAGGCCTGGAAGAAAGTGACTACGCCTGTCTGCAGGGACTGCTGTGGCCCACCCAGAGGAGGTGGCATCTGAGCTAGGTCTCCAAGGATGAGTGGGTATAGGATCGTGGGGAAGGCGGTAGCGGGAACAAGCTTATCAGGAGGAGTGTGCAGGGGAAGGTCACAGAGTGGGCAGGAGCTAGGAAAGACCCAAGACAGGGAAATAAGAGGATGAAGAGATGGAGCAAGTCCCAGGGACACCGAGGGACACAGGTGGAGGAGAAGTCTCTGGACTGTGGAGAGACTGTCCCTCTTTTGAAGTCTTGAGGGAGGCAGGGAGGGAAGAGAGTTCTCAGCCCCTGTTAGGGCCGGTTTCCTCCCAGAAGAGGCAGGCAAGGGCGCCGCCATGCAGGTGCGGGGGTGGGGGCGCAGGGGAGGCGGTGGAGCGGAGAGCTAGGAAAGGTCCAGCCTTTCAGCAGCCACCCACACAGAGGCTTGGTGCCTGTGCCTGACCGAGGCACCTCCTTCCATCACTCATAAGGGCACTAGGGTCGTGATCCCTGCCAGCCCCCGCACTTTGCAGAGACGTTGTGAGGGACGCAGTACACTTCACCAATTGCCGCGTGTGACAGAGGGCTTGGCTACTCAGTAATGAGAGTGTTGTTTGCACGAGAGGTATAAATAGTCTACTTTCTCGGCATTTGGCAGGCATTAGCCTATTGTTTCCACAACCTGTTCATTCCTTTGTGTATTCATTCATTTAATAAATGTTTATTGAGTGCTTACTGTATGCCCGGCACTCTATTGGCTCCAGACACTCAGGGAAGAACATGGCTTCAAGTCATTTACACTCTAGTGGAAGAGGGAGGCCGTGGGCAGGATGGTGCGGTAAGAACTGGGACCAGGTCTGTGGAGTCTATGGGTTGTGTGGTTTGCACAGAAGAGACGCCCGTCCTTAGATCTAGGGGACTGAGGAAGGCTTCCTGGCCTAGGAGATTTCAAAGATGATACCTGCGTGGGACCCAGTCCAGTGGAAGGGAAAGGCGATGGGAGCAGGAGGGGAGAACGTTCCGAGTTCAGGGGCAGCACTTGCAGAGCCCCCTAGGTGAGTTATAAGAAACTTCAAATACTGAAAACTAGAGCCCACTGAGAAACGTTGTTTTCCTTTTAGAGAGGAAAAACTTTGTGTAGTTGATCCCGTTAAGTGTAAGATGTGGTGGAGGGGTATTGGGATCCAAGAAGGAGAAAGGAATTCCTTAGAAATGGCTCGGGAAAAGTTAGAAGTACCTTCCTTATTCGAAATCAGTACCACTACTCGTTAGTGACTTTTCATTTTGTTAAACAGTGCCTTGCAGTTTGCAAAGCACTCGACTTCTCACTCTGCAGCGATTCTCATCGCATACGTGGGAGGTTGGATCAGACAATCCCTCAGTCTCAAAGCAGATACCTGGCAGACCCCACAACTAGAACCTGGGGCTTCCTCCTCAGTGGTCTGGTCCTGATAATTCCTAATAATTTCATGTGGCTCTTTACAGGTCACAAAGCACATCCACCTCCCTGAGCTCGCCTGGCTCTGTTAGCGTCTCCAGCTTCAAAGGAAGAACATGCCAACCAGGTAGGGGCAGCGTGTAACCAGCAGAGCCCCTGAGCAGCAGGGGCCAGGAGGTGACCAGCTGGGCTGCAGCCTCTGGACCGAGCAGCTGTTTGACCCCTTTGCATTGGACTGCCGGGGTCAGTGACCGGGTCTGAGTTGAGAGA